AAAATGTACATTTTCAGTTACCACGGACTCCTAAGCTAAGAAAATTAACTAATCTTTGGCGGCCATTTTCTCACTAATTTTTCCTCTGAAAACAGGTGACCCCCACCTCCTTCATTCGCAAATATCTCGACTTGTATTCAAGATAAATGGATATTTTTTTCTTCCAAATAAAGACAAGTGAACAGTCTTTAAGATGCTACCATTAACTCTACAATCCCAAAAATTGACGAGAGCCTGATTCCACCACGCTGCCTCACAAATGTCTTACTCATGGTTCCCCCGCAGTCTCTCAACTGCGTGGCATTGGTCCCCCATGGCGCACTACAGTCCTCGCCTGTCATCTTGCAGAAATGCTCGCTGGAGTATGGCACTCCGGGGAAAGTCACGTTCCAGGCAGTGTTGAAATGGGTTCCTTTCGGACAGATGGGAAATGGAAAGACAGACCTATGCACTATGCACACACTCATAATGGTCGCTTTTAAAAGGACACGTGGGCTAACGCAGATTTCGGGGGTTTCCAGAAATCTTGACCTGCACTAAAAGTGGGCATTTCCCTACCTATAGGAGAAGTTTTGTTTCATTGGTGTGTAGATATTTGTTTGGTTAACTCTCCTTGTCTTTTAAAGAAATCGAACAAGGGGCAAAAACTTTACCTTCCATTTTCTCAAAACAGCTATTTATTTATTTATCTATCTATCTATCTATCTACCAAGAAATAGACAGATAGACAGTCATACAAACACACGCACAAGTGCACGCGCGTAAGCGCTGAAAGATGTAAATGGGTACTTTATTTCTGTTTCTGTCTATTCCTCTATATTTTAACTCTCTATCCTGCTCTGCTTCTATCTTACAAGCATACGCATGTACATACATACACGCACACACATACCAAACTACATACTATGACACACACACACACACACACACACACACACAGAGAGAGAGAGAGAGAGAGAGAGAGAGAGAGAGAGAGAGAGAGAGAGACACTCATACGTAAATACGCACAGTGACAACACACGCGAGCGCGCACATACACGTACGAACACACACAGACGCACACATACACAAAAAAACACACGCACGCACGCACGCACGCACACACACACACACACACACACACACACACACACACACACACACACACACGCGCGCGCGCGCGCGCGCGCGCGCACAAAAGCATACACCCACACACTTACATACCAACGTATGAATATAAATTATAAAGAAATATTTAAAGATAAGCACTCCAACATGATAAATTACCTCCTGTTCCCACTCCTTCAGGAGCGCCCATGGCCATGAATTTGAGTTCAACATTAGGGTAGATTCTAATTCCTTGTTTATGACACTCCTCCACCATGCTCCTACAAAACCAAACAAAAATCTGTCACTTATGTGGAAAGCACGAAGCACAATTTAGGATTGTTTTTTAAGGAATGATAAAAGAAACAGAGGGAGAAAGGGAGTGGAGGAGAGGGGCGGGTGTTAGAATTTGGAGCAAAGAGCATACATGTTAACTGTAATAAGAGAAAGGTAAAAAAAAATCACAAACAAGCAGAGAGTAAAAAATGTAAGGAAGCATGAAGTCAGAAGCGGTTCAATAAACGACGAAAATTTAAAAAGGGAAAGGAACAGGGATCGAAAGAGTAAAATCCTTCTTGATTTGCCCTTGCTTAAAATTCAACCTGCAATCTTGTATCCTTGGCAATGTCATACACATACAATCTATGCAACATCTCTTATTCTTATAAAGAAAAAAAGGGGGGGGGTGAGAAGGAAGAGGGGAGGAGGAGGAGGAGGAGGAGGAGGAAAAGGAGGAGGACGAGGAAGAAGAGGAGGAGGACGAGGAGGACGAGGAGGACGAGGAGGAGGACGAGGAGGAGGACGAGGAGGAGGAAGAGGAGGAGGAAGAGGAGGAGGAAGAGAAAGCGAAAGAGGGAAAATATTTTAGTTATCTTTACAATTTAAGTAAACAAACTGTTGCACCACAACCACAGTACATGTAACTATTGACCTGAATTCTCCCTCCGTGCCGGATCGACTGACCAGCTTGTAGCTCACCACCTGATATCTCTCCCACCAAGGTCTCTGGACGTCTGTGTTTTGCAAAACCATGTTTTCAGAAGGGATCGAGGTCTGGAGGAGGACAAAAGCAAACACAGAAGAAAGTCTTCAAGACAAGAAAGGTTTGCAATAGTATGTAGTAGTATAGGGTTTTACGGCGCTCGCAAAAGATTTGCAATGGAAGTCGGAATTTTAACAGGGACGACCGAACAACGTATGGGAGAACCAGGGCCTAGGTGCAACAAAAAGAAACAATTAACTGAAGGTAATTCGACCTGTACATGAGAATCATCATCATCATCATCATCCTGTGCCTTGCCGACTGGCGTGGGCGATCATGGACCTCCACTTCCGTCTGTCTTTCAAAGCATGAATGGTGTCTGTTGATCTTGCTGCTCCCAGTCATGTTGTCATCTTGTCCAGTATCTTTTCCCTCTGTCTGCCTCTGCCTCTCTTTCCATCAAACGTTCCTGTTGTTACAATATTCTCTAATGCTTCTTTCTCATTGTATGTCCGAAGAAATTTGCCTGTCGTTTTCTTATATTCGTGATAAGATGTTTTCTATAATTTGCTTCAACCAGGACATGAGAATGGAAAGGACAAATTATTACTAAAGCCTACAAGTCTTGGGAAGTTCGAGAGGACAACGAAAAAGAGAAAGACTGAAGACTACTATCCAATACTGTTGCAGAATGATCAACGAATGAAAGTAAACAGCTAAGATGTTGCATGACAAACAACAGCGGACACGGACAGAAAAAGGTAAAGAGTATTGGTTCATGTTTGAAAGCTGTGGATAACCCCTCTCCCAGGGCGCCTCTTTTAAAACAAGCAAAGAGGTATGATCATGTCTTCACACAGTTTACGTCAGTGAGACGTTGTGCTTATTTATTAGAATAGACAGTTTCGTAATGTTCAGTCGACGACCGATTGGGCAGGTGGGTGCTGAGAGGGGAAATGGAACAGAGAGAGAGAGGGGGGAGACCGGAGAGAGAGAGAGAGAGAGAGAGAGAGAGAGAGA